CAAATGCATAAACCAACCCTACATGTCTGTACCTCACCCTGTTTTAGACAACCAGTGTTTCAATTGACTGCTCCACTTCTCTATCAAACTATTACTCTGAAGAGGATAACTCTTTACCCATTGTTTGACATTATGGGCTGTAAGTAGAGTACTCCTTAGTATGAAGAAATGTGGCTCAGCCATTCAAATTGGTGCAATATCTTCTGTTCTGATTCTTTCATGGTACTGACCATTTGTGTCTACCACTAGATAAGCTAAGTCCTGTCCAGAGTCAGTGTTTATCCCTGTCAAAACCAATTTGTAGGATGGGTGCAGTGGCTCACACCTGTAATCCCAGCACTTTGAGAGGCCTAAGCAGGAGGATCACTTGAGCCCAGGAATTCAGGACCAGCCTGGGTAACATGGTGAAACCCTAACTCTGTGAAAATAATAATAATAATAATAATAATACAAATAAATTAGCCAGGTGTGGTGGTTTGTGCCTGTAGTCCCAGCTACTTGGGAGGCTAAAGCTGGAGGATCACTTGAGCCTGGGAGATTGAGGCTGCAGTGAGCTGTGATCCCACCATTGCACTCCAGCCTGGGCAACAGAGTGAGATCCTGTCTCAAAAGAACAAAAACAGGCCGGGTGTAGTGACTCATGCCTGTAATCCCAGCACTTGGGAGGCTGAGGCAGGTGGATCATTTGAGGTTGGGAGTTTAAGACCAGCCTGGCCAACTGGTGAAACCCCATCTCTACAAAAAATTCAAAAATAGCCAGGTGTGGTGGTGCTCGCCTGTAATTCCAGCTACTAGGGAGGCTGAGGCAGGAGAATCACTTGAAGCCGGGAAGTGGAAGTTGCAGTGAGCTGAGATTGCACCAGTGTGCTCCAGCCTGGGTGACAGAGTGAGACTCCATCTCAAAAAAAGAACAAAAACAAAAATGATTTGTTGTCCTTGGGACTACCAGCATTGGCTCTTCCATGCAATCTACTGGCCAGCCATGTGTGGGATCTTCCCCCGGGGGTCTTCCCCATAGTCATCTACAATAACTGTCTCTTTTATTGGCAGACAGAATAGTTTGTTGCTATTTTGTGCCTCAGGGGGTGCAAGAGAATTCAGCTCATCTTCTGCAGTGGCTGTAGCACCCCCATCCTGTCTACTCATTTTATGGACCCACATGCTCACCTCAAACAAGCATACTGTGATACCTACTAATTGGTTCTGATCATCTTCCAATTTGGAAGGAGGGTCTTTTGCTGGGCATTGACATGTTTTACTTTAATGCATCCCTCATTCCCATAGTGATTTCCATAGGGCTGTGTCCCATATGAGAGTCCCTTTAATATGCCAGGTTTCCATTGCACTCTTGCCTTACCACATGGCCAGGCTGCTGGCCATTGCCCATGAATCAGAAACTGAAAGATATGGGCATTTATCACTGTTCAATTTTTCCATCACTTCTAGGAAAATAGCAGATTATTCAGCTCACCTAGCTGATTTGTTTTTACCTTCCTTAATTACAGTGGTGGTGTTCCAAACAGGATGTTGTCCATTTACCTTAAAACTAACATCCACAGCCCCAGGCATGGTGGCTTATGCCTGTAATCCTAAAACTTTGGGAGGCTGCACAGAGCAGGGGGACCGTGGACCCAGCCCAGGAAACCATTTTTTCTTCCTAGACTTCTGGGCCTGTGATGGGAGGGGCTGCTTTGAAGTCCTCTGATATACCCTGGAGACATTTTCCCCAGTGTCTTGGTAATTAACATTAGGCTCCCCATTACTTATGCAAATTTATGCAGCTGGTTTGAATTTCTCCTCAGAAAACGAGTTTTTCTTTTCTATCACATTGTCAGACTGCAAATTTTCCAAATTTGTTGCTCTGCTTCCTTTTGAATACTTTGCTGCTTAGAAACTTCTTCCACCAGATGAGCGTAAATTAGTTCAACCATTATGGAAGACAGTGTGGCGATTCCTCAAGGATCTAGAAATAGAAATTCCATTTGACCCAGCAATCCCATTACTGGGTATATACCCAAAGGATTATAAATCGTTCTATCATAAAGACACATGGACACGTATGTTCATTGCAGTGCTGTTTACGATAGCAAAGACCTGGAACCAACCCAAATGCCCATCGATGATAAACTGGACAAAAAAATGTGGCACATATACACCATGGAATACTATGCAGCCATAAAAAATGATGAGTTTGTGTCCTTTGTAGAGACATGGATGAACCTAGAAACCATCATTCTCAGCAAACTGACACAAGAACAGAAAACCAACACCACAAGTTTTCACTCATAGGCAGATGATGATCAATGAGAACACTTGGGCACAGAGAAGGGAACAACACTCACAGGGCTAGATCAGGGGGTGGAGGGGAGGGGAGGGGAGGGGAGGGACAGCAGTGGAGGGTGGGGAGGATGGGGAGGGATAACACCAGGAGAAATGCCTAATGTAGGCAATGGGGGAGGGGGGAAATAGAGACAGCAAACCACCATGGCATGCATGTACCTATGTAACAATCCTGCAGGATGCAGGACGTGCACATGTACCCCAGATCCCAAATACAATTAAAAAAAAAGAAAAGAAATTTCTTTCACCAGATACCCTAAATCATCTCTCTCAAGTTCAAAGTTCCACAGATCTCTAGGGTAGGGACAAAATATTGCCAGTCTCTTTGCTAAAGCATACCAAGAGTTACCTTTGCTCCAGTTCCCAAGAAGTTCCTCAACCCATCTGAGACCACCTAAGCCTGGACTTCATTGTCCATATCACTGTCGGCATTTTGGTCAAAAGGATTCAACAAGTCTCTAGGAAGTTCCAAGGCTTCCCAATATCTTCCTGTCTTCTGAGCCCTCTAAGTCTCTAGGAAGCTCCAAACTTTCCCACATTTTTCTATCGTCCACTGAGCCCTCCAAACTGTTCCTACCCCTGTCTGTTACCCAGTTCCAAAGTTGCAGCCACATTTTTGGATATCTTTATAGCAACACCCCATTCTCTGTGGTACCAATTTACAGTATTAGTCCACTTTCACACTGCTGTGAATACCCAAGACTGGGTAATTTATAAAGAAAAGAGGTTTAATTGACTCACAGTTATGCATGGCTGGGAAGGCCTCAGGAAACTTACAATCATAGCAGAAGGCATCTCTTCACAGGGCAGCAGAAGAGAGTGAGTGCCAGCAGGGTAAATACCGGATCTTGTGAGAACCCACTCACTATCACGAGAACATGGGGAAACTGCCCCCATGATTCAGTTACCTCCCACCAGGTCCCATCCATGACATGGGATTATGGGGCTTACAATTCAAGATAAGATTTGGATGGGGACACAGCAAACCATATCACCTGGGTAATGGGCATATTCAGTACATGAATCCTGATTATCACAAAGTCAGGTCCACATGGTTTGCATATGAAGCGTATCAGCTGCTTCATCTGGGTTGTTCCATTGAAAGGGGAAGTCAGATAGTTCCCCTTCTGCGGGTAAATGGACCTTATAATGGCTCATATCTGGTCCACCAGGTCAGCTGTTCCCTTGGGAACAACTTGCTATGTGTCTGGATTATGTGTAGCCATCTGTGATTGTTCCATAGTGAGCTATGGATCCTGTAGCAACCTAAACATGCTCTTCCACGCTGAAGCATTTAAAAGCCAAGATACTCCGCTTAAATTAGTTATTCTCACAATCCATTTTAGTAAAAATTCTTTAAGAAGCTGTTGGTACTGACCTATAAAATAAAGTAGCTTTTTCACACTATACCCCCTGGTTTCAGTAGTTTCTTGGTTTTGCCCTCCCCTACCTGGACCCTCTTTTTGGTGACCAGAGATCTTGGAGGCATTTTCTGTTTTTTTCCCACATATTTTTTCCCGTTAGAGGCAGCTTTGAGTCTAGCATCCAAAGTTCAGGCCCACTGGAATCTGAGCTTGGTCCAACAATAAGGTCCAACCCAACACTCTTTTTAACTTTCATTTTCGCTGTTACAGATAACAATAACCATTGGATTGTGTATTTCACTTTTTTCTTATTAGTTTGCATTTCCTTAAGCATTCAGTGAATCAACACCCCAGGAGTTGGGTTCATTTATAAACTTCATTGGTAACTTTTACCTTTAGTAACTGGCCGCAGCCCAGTGGCTGCTCCATAGGTGACTATATGGCCACTCAGGAATCAAAGTTTCCTCATCCCCTACCCTTTTATCTTTATCCTTCCAAACCACATGTTTCTGAGTTCCAGGTGACCCACACTTCTTCCAAATTGGACAAATTTGAGGGTTCCCACACCCTTTTTCAGGTTTGATAATTTTCTGGAATGACCCACAGAACTCAAAAAATTTATTTACATTACCAGTAAATAAATTTATTTACATTACCATTACCAGTTTATTATAAAAGATACAGCTCAGGAACAGCCAAATGGAAGGGAAGCATAGAGCAAGGTAGGGAGGACATGGAGCTTCCATACTTTCTCTGGGCATGCCACACCCCCAGCTCCTCTCTGTATTCACCAGCCTGGAAGCTTTCTGAATCTCATTGTTAAGGATGTTTATAGGACTCAGTCTCCAGCCCCCTTTCTTCCCTCTTCTTCCTTGAGGTCAGTGGGTGGGGCTGAAAGTCCAACTCTCTAATTACTAGGTCCTTCTAGTGAACAGCTCCATTCTGAGGCTATCTAGGGGCCCGAGCCCTAGCTACCTCATTAGCATAATCTAAGGTGCTATTGAAAGGGGCTCGTTATGAATGCAAAAGACACTCCTGTCCTTGCTACTTAGAGGCTGAGGCAGGAGGATCTAGTGAGGAAAAAAAAAAGACACTCCTATCACTCAGGAAATTCCAAGGGCTTAAGAAGTTCTGTGCCTGGTCCTGGGAGCAGGAACAAAGACCAAATATGTTTTTGTATTATACCACAGTTTGGAAAGTTCATTGAAATAGAAAGAAAAAAAAAAAAAAAAACCCACCTCTATCCTACCACCCAAAGATAGTCTCTATTAGCATTACAGAATACTTACTTCCAGGGTCTTTTGTAAGTTTTGAGCATTACATTATTATTACTCACATTTTATGGTAATATTTATGTTGATAAATCTAATCACTTTTGCTTTATGAAAGTTACTCAGATCTCATCTTAAATGTCATTTCATCAGAGAAGCTTTTCCTGGCAAAATTCAGTCATTATTTTAACACAGTCCCCTATTTTAATTCATCGCATGACACTGAACACAGATAACTTTGGAGTTTTGTTTAGTGTCTGCTTTCCTTCCAGCCTTTATTAACCTGGATCTTGGGCTGTTTTTTAACTTGTTAGATATTTACAGCACCTAGAACAGTACCTGGCCCTACTGTGGTAGGTATGCAATAAATATTTGTTGAGTAGGTGACTAAATGAAAGCCCTAGGTTGGTTATATGTGTGGATATATGTGTTTTTTAAAGGAAGAAAAGAAAATAGGCCGGGCGCAGTGGCTTGGCTTACCCCTGTAATCCCAGCACTTTGGGAGGCCAAGGTAGGTGGATTACTTGAGGTCAGGAGTTCGAGACCAGCCTAGGCAATATGGCAAAACCTCATCTTTACAAACAAAAAATTTTTTTCCTACACATAAAGAATTGTTTTAATTGGTCAAAAAAAATTTTTTTTAATTAGCTGTGTGTGTGCCTGTATTTCTAGCTGCTTGGGAGGCTGAGGTGGGAGGATCACTTGAGCCCAGGAGGCAGAGGTTGCAGTGAGCCAAGATCGCACCACTGTACTACAGCCTGGACAACAGAGTGAGACTCCGTCTCAAGAAAAGAAAATCATTTCTCAGAGTCTTTTTCTTTTGTCTTAAATGTCTTAAGAGATCAAGAAATGGAGTTCTTTGTCTAAAACTTCTGAGATTCAAATCACAGCTTCAATTAACATTCCAGCTGTGCCGAGCTATACATTAATTTGTACCAGTTTTTAACCACAGAGACAGAAAAATGCTGTCTGGCACAGGATGTGGTCATTTCTGCTGAGGAAAGGCATATGATGTTGTATCAGCTTCATGTAACTTGAAGGTGACATCCATGGAGTCTCACTCAAAATGAGGCAAATGATAGCTGTGCCTGTGGCTTGCTTTTTTGTGTGAGTTATGGTTTCTGACTTCTGGTAGGTAATACTATTAAGTTTATAGTTGAAATAGTGATCCCTATGCAACTGTTGGTTTGGGAATTTATAATTTATGTTATAAATTTGCTTTGGGCTCAGAGGTAACCTATGAGTTTTGTATTTTCAGGTAATTTGGGGTTAAAAAAAAAAGATTAAATACCCAAACATAAACAAGAAACCAATAATTTCCATTCAACAATAGGAATTTAATACTGTAAAGACCCAAGTGGTGAAGCACCTTGTTAGGAACCCATACGATAGTATCACCTTACCTCCAACTACATGTCAATGGATTAATAGGATGTCTGTGTAGAGAAGTATTTTTCCCAGTTGCTAGGGGTCTGGGAGTGTCATGAGTTCTTGATAGAGAATAGAAGATATGATCAATCGCCCTAAATAATTTGGGAAAGAGAAAAGAAACCGTTATTTACTCTAAGCTTTACTCAGAAAGAAATGAATAGGCTAATTTTGTTGTTGTTTTTGTTGCTGCTCTATTGCCCAGGCTGGAGTGCAGTGGCGCGATCTCACTGTAACCTCTGCCTCCTAATTTCAAGTGATTCTTGTGCCTCAGCCTCCTGAGTAGCTGGGACTACAGGCATGTACCACCATGCCTGGCAAATTTTTATATTTTTAGGAGAGACAGGGTTTTACCATCTCTACTAAATGGCCAGACTGGTCTCGAACTCCTGACCTCAAGTGTTCTGCCCACTTCGGCCTCCCAAAGTGCTAGGATTACACCACACCTGGCCTGAATAGGCAATTTTAATGCTGAAAGATCATTCCATTATTTTGCGATTAATCTGCAAACAGATTATAGTAGTCCCCCTTCTCTGCGGTTTCACCTTGTGCAGTTTCAGTTCCATGGTCAAACATTATCCCAAAATAGGTGCGTATAGCACAGTAAAACATTTTGAGAGAGCGTCAGTAATCACATACCTTTTATTATAGTATAATGTTATAATTGTTCTATTTTATTGTTAGTTGTTATTAATCTCTTACTGTGCCAGATTTGTAAATTAAACTTTATCATAGGTTTAGGAAAAAATATAGTATTCAGTCTTATACCACATAACATTTTGGTCAATGATGGACTGCAAAAACAGTGGTGGTCTCATATGTTAAGACCTATTTTTGCTGTATCTTTTCTATTTTTAGATACACAAATACTTACCATTGTGTTACAGTTGCCTACAGTATTCAGTACAGTGATATACTATATATATAACATGCTATACAGTCTAGGAGCAATAAGCTGTACCATATACCTGGGGGTTGTAGTGGGCCATACTGTCTAGGTTTGTATAAATAGTGTATTCTATGATGTTTGCATAATGAGGAAATCACCTAATGATGCATTTCTTAGAAAGCATCTCATGGTTAAGGAGCATGTGACTATATATAGGGTTTGGCACTATCTTCAGTTTCAGACATCCACTGAGGGTCTTAGAAAGTATCCTCTGTGGATAAGGGGAGACCACTGTACTATACTATTAACACTGGCACTTAATCTGGGTCATATATGTTTGGAAAAGGTGGTTACCAGGACCCTACTTTTATAAAATATATAATGTGATCAGTATATATAAATTATACACACTAAATTATAAAAACAATAGAATTTAAAAACAGCATTGACAATAAAAGATATACGTATTGCATAATAAGGCACCACTGCCTTATGCAGCACAGGAAAACATTAAGACTAGAGTTGGGCCCAGTGCTGTGGCACAAGCCTGTAGTCCCAGCTACTCAGGAGGCTGAGGCAGGAGGATCACCTGAGCCCAGGAGTTTGAGGCTGGAGTGCATTATGATCACATCTATGAATAGCCAGTGCACTCCAGCCTGGGCAATATAGCAAGACTCCATCTATAAAAAGAGAAAAGACTAGAATGAGAATCATACTTTTAAAGGTAATTAGGGAAATTTAGTTATAGTGTAATAATTATTTAAAAATATGCTTTAGAGAATTCTATTCTTTTTAAGTTTAATGGAACCATTTATTTTTTTAATGTCATTTTAAAGGTTTTAGGAACCAAGACCTGTCAGGGGTGTTTAAAATTCAGAATCATTGCAATCATGTTTAATTTATATGTTAAAAAAATGAAATATCATGTGCATCTTTATAGCTCTTAAAAAATTGTTTTATAGAAAATTTCACACCCTGATAGAAACACTCACTTTATTTTTTCTTTTGTGAAAGGACAGACTAATTTTTAGGGGAAAAAGTCTTTACCCCACTAGGGTTATTTTGATAACAAAACAAAAATACTTGGAACAAGCTTTTTATTATATTTTTGGAAAGAGGCACAATGCTTAGGAAAAAACTTCTTAAAAGTATTAACATTGGCCAGGCATGGTGGCTCATGCCTATAATCCCAGCATGTTGGGAGGCTGAGGCAGGCAGATCACCTGAAGTCAGGTGTTCAAGGCCAGCCCTGCCAACATGGTGAAACCCCTTCTCTTCTAAATATACAAAAATTAGCTGTGCATGGTGGTGCATGCCTGTAATCCCAGCTACCCAGGAGATTGAGGCAGGAGAATCGTTTGAGCCCAGGAGGTGGGGGTTGCAGCAATAAGCTGAGATTATACCACTGCACTGAAGCCTGGGTGACAGACCAAGCCTCCATCTCAAGAAAATGACACAACAAACAAAAGTGTTAACATTGAACATAAATACACTTGCTCACGATCCCACAGACATTGTGGTACTTTTTTTATAATATATTCCCAGGAGCTTAATGTGGGTATTGGCAAACTTTTTCTGTAAAGGACCAAATAGTAAATATCTTAGGCTTTGTGGGCTGTACAACCTGTTGCATCTTCTCAACTCTGCCATTGCAAGGTAAGACAACTGTAGAAGGTCCATAAATGAATGTGAGTGGCTTTGTACCAATAACACTTTATTTACAAAAATAGGCAGTGGGTTGTATTTGACCTGCAGGCCATAATTTTACTCCTAACCTAGTGTATACATTTATTGTATAATGAGTTAAGAAAAGTTTTGGCTCTTGAAAGGAGCAATGTTTGTGTAAACATTTCAAAAGGGCATCAGTGAGGATTCTAACACTATTATTTTAAAAATTAGAAAAATATATGTCACTAACAGCTGTTTATCACATGAACATATAGTTGATAATCACTCTATTTACATAAATTAGACATGAATAAAGCCATATGTAGACTAAATGTTGTGTTAACATTTAGTTGGTTTTCTCCTTTATTCATGAAAATTTAAATCTAACAAGCTAATGTACTGGGAATATTTACATCAACTCAAGTTTGTTTCTTCAGGAGGCCTTTTTATACCCACCTCCCACCGTGTGGTCTCAGAGCTGAATTTTTAAGGGCATGTTCAATTAGTACTTGTTTAAACATCGAATTATATTCTATTCAAAATTGTTTGTGCATGACAAGCTTTCACACCATTATATCATAAACTTTTTGAAAAAAGGAGCCCTAACCTATATTTACATCTTTCTAAGAACACTTACCTATGAAGTGGTATAATCCAGCCAGATTGGAAAACACAAAAAATGAGGAAGTTCAGAGTTCTTTTTCCAGCCTGCTCATTAACTTCTATGAACAGTTATTATTTCTCCTCCTCTTAGTGACCAACTGTAACTATCTTCGGACTGAACTTGAGCCATAGGAAATAACCCAGAGAACAGTGTCTTTATTTTTGTTTAGCATCCAGTGAGTGCTGGGAATATCACATGCACTTTGATCCATACAAAAGATTTGGGACCTTCTACTTGGATCTAAAATGTCAGTGAGATACTGTGATGTCAAAAGCAAGAGTTAAAACAATACTACAACATATCATGAGAAAGAATATTCTTGTTGCTTATATCTTGGCCTGTGATCACAGAGCAACACAATAAAATAAAAACCTCTGAGTATCAAGG